TATTTCAATTAATCCCATAGGTTCTGTTATTTTTTTTTCACGTTTCGCTTTATACGCGAACCTCCATGGGCTTAATTAACTGTGTAAAACCAGACTATACTGTACAGTGGTCCCTCGGTTAACGAACGCCTCGGTTAACGAAATTTCGGTTAACGAATTACCTTACATAAGAATATTCAAATCGGTCAATGAAAAAAATTTGGTTAACGAATTCCTTAAGAATTCCTCTCAACATGTTTTCGCTTGCTCACCAGCTGGAATATTAGTCCGCCAATACAGTAATCGGTTCTAGGGGTTAAATTCGTTTCCATTTGAGTATATATCAAGAAGGTTGTACTGTACTATTCAATAATTTTCCAAGTATTATATTAAAATTTTTAGTCATTTTAACAATTATTTAACATAATTTAAGCACAGAAAACTAGTTTTTAGTGCGCCAAACAGCCACTCAACTCACCAAACAGGCGTCAGTTTGTATCTCTGGTCAGTAGAGGTAACATCTTGCTTGAGACTCTCTTGAACATAAACTATTTTTACGTTTTTACATTACAATTATTGGTCATTCTGAAATTTATTTTACATATTGACAATATATAGTGCAGTGCAGTGTTGATTTAAAGAAAATAATCTTGAATTACAATTAGTGAACTTAAAATTTTATGGCTGAAATGACTGCATCACTTCCTTGTCTTCTCCCTTTTCCTCCACCCCCACTTCTAATTCCCATCATCATCATCATCAACCAGGAGCCTTCTACATGCACACCTCAAAGTAAGTGTACTTTACTGCATTTATTTTTACTTTGTATGTAGTTTTCGGTGAGCTGGAACCAATTACCCAAAATCCCATTGAAACAATGGTTTCAGTTAACAAAATTTTCGGTTAACGAACGACCTTCTGGAACGAATTGTGTTCATTAACCGAGGGACCACTGTATTTCAAAACACTCAGCCGCCAGGGCCAGATCGACGCCGATGCCCTGTGTATGCTTACGAACAGTTCGGTACGAGCGGCTGCTCTCACGTCCACAAAAAAATCTAAACTTACAACATATCATAGTAAGTACTTTCTGTTTAATATACCAGGGGGTCCGGGGGACAGAGCCTCCCCCTGCTAGGAAGTTAGGTAAAATTAAATAGTAGGTAGTAGGCAGCAATTAAACAGAGAGATACTACCGCTTGGGAAGATATTGGATGCATAATGTGTTGTCTATGGTAGACCCTGCTGCCATATGGCATCACAAAAATTGTGACCAAGTCCCAGGTTGCTGATCTGACTTTCTGACACATTTACGCACAATTGCAGGGTTTCAATTGTTTCTCTTACTTTGATAACACAACATACATACAATATTTTATCGATTTAACAAACTAATTTGACCCAAACATTTCTGTTGAGTATAAATTTCCGATAAATTTAATTTCCGTTAATTTTGCTCAATTTACCAAACTATTTCACTAAATCGAGCGTGATTTCATTAAATTCTGCACCAAACGCACCACGTGTCGCTCGGCCAATTGAATTTATTTAATTCACTCAGTCTGTGTCCTGCTACCACCGCGTGTGTTCTTCACTGCTACCTCTCGGTCAACTTACTACACTGGAACACCTTAGCTTTCGCCCTTATTCAAGATACCTTCAGAGGCAACTGAATTTACAGGGACTGAGAGAGGCTTATATATAATGAGTGACCTTACATAACATCAGGTCAGGTCAAGAACATAAAACCCATTGATCATCTACCCTACATCCACCACAAATGTTTCAAAGCATTTTTAACCTGAGGACAGTTATTATTCAATAATTAATACCCAAACACCACACACACAACATCTAGAGTTTAAAGTCTTGTGTGAGACTGTGAGTTGGAGGGAGGGAGCAGTGTATTTGTTATCATTAATAATGTAAAATATTAAACACTGTAGAAAAAATATTATATATAATTTGACATGAAAATTACATGGCAAGCCAAACAATAAGGTTTTTTTTTTTTGACCCAGACCTCTCCACTGAGAGGAGGCTGGGTAGGCTTACACACGTCCTGTACACGATATCTTTCATGTAGATCCACAATGGAAATGTGGAAAAGATAAAACCACACAGGAAAAGGGAAACACTTCAGCACCTTAGCTTTCATATTCAAGACATCTTCAGATGCAACTGAATTTATAAAAGTTTTGGAAAATCATCACAATTATCACAACCTGTACTCAAATGTCCTAATTACTAAAATGCCATAATCTTAAACAACATAACACTGTACTCAATTTGTACTCAAAATTACTAGCTAAGGAAGTAAAATTTTCATCTCTAGTGAAGACTCTGGGATGTTTGTACTCAAATTAATCGCTATCTAGCAAGAACACCAGCGATGCAAGTTATGTTCTCTAAGTCAAGTCAGTGACATTTTATAAGATAAAAACTTTTAACTCTAAAACCAACTTCACCCTCAAACTCCTTACTGCCTGAGAGGTGAGGTGAGGTGGTGTTAGACAGGTCATTAACCTGTGCCGTGGTGGGTTACTCTGAGAGAGCGAGAGAGTGAGAGAGAGAGAGTGTCTTTCCAGTTCAGTTATAATGGGTGTGCAGGAGCTGGTCTTATGCAAATTAGTTTGACCTAGTTTGTTGGCATTTAGCGGAGGTACGATATTATTTTGGATGAATTTATAATTTCACACCGGTCTTTCTTTCACTGTTATCAATATGCATTTAGTAATGTTTAGACAATTTTAAGACATTTTTCTTTTATGATACTTCCACCGGAAAATAAGGATAACCAAGATATTAATTTTTCAAAATTATTACTTTCGTTCAGTCACAAGTGTCGCCATGATTTGTTTACTTATGGCAGAGGTGGTCTGACCCCTGCTCACGCGTCGCTCCAGGCCTCTGTCTTCGCTCTTTAAGCGTCTAGAGCGGATGTGTGGGAGAGGGGGAGGAAATTATTTAATTGCCGATAGCAAAAGGAGTATTTTTACTGGGCAAGATTTTTTTGTTTTAGCCAATGAACAAGGAGTGGGTGGGTCTGGAGGGAAGATTTGAATTTTTAGTAGCAGATATGGCTGAACTGGTGGAAGAGCTGTGCAGAATTTGTGATAAAGATTATTTTGCAACAATTGCCAAGTTTCACTCGCAAAATAGTGATGCAATTATTTTTTAGAAAACACGGTGTATTACCGAATATAGTTCTTTGTTCAAATTGCAATAACCAGTGTACACTGTGTGAAGAACAGCATATTTGGCGGTGTCACAATAGTTTTCTTGGGCCAAAAAGTAAAAATTGAAAAGGTGCAACTTTTCCGTTAGTGATTATAAAGGATCATTTTTAGATAATTGTAGTTTTGATCCCTGGAATTGATCCTTTTAATTAATCATTGACTTAGCAACCACTGGGATCATAACACACTTATAGAGTGTTTGCATTTTTCAAGAAACACTTCTGTAGACTGGTGCAGCTAGTAATGTTCAAAGGTAACGAACTTTTGGTTGGAATATCAAAATCAAATTGGGGGGCCAGGGATTGCTGTGGAAATTGACGACTCTTATTTGTAAAAGGAAGTATGATACTGGTAGAATTCTAAGCCAAATATGGATTTTTGGTGATGTTGAACGGGAGAGTAAAGAAAAGTTAGTTGTTCCCCGAGTCGGTCAGAAAAGGGACAGGGCTACGTTGCTTCCCCTTATTTTTAAATACGTTCGGCGAGGTTCAGTGATTTATAGTGATTCTTGGCGTGCATATCACAGTCTTAAAGACCATGGCTACACTCATTTTATGATTAACCATTCTGAAAATTTTGTGAATCCTGAAAATTCTGATATTCATACACAGAACATTGAAAGTGTGGCTAGATTTGAAAAAATATATCAAACGGCCTGGAATTCGTGCTGAATATTAACTAGAGTATGGGCCAGTCGGCCTCCTGCAGTATCCCACTTTCTTATATTTTTATTATAAAGAATAAACATAACTTGTTGCACAGATTCTGCATTCAAGCAGCCCGCCTGTACCCTCCTCTAAGTGACCGACCACCACTTCATATAGAATCAGACATTGAAGACCCAGATGAACCTGATTCATTTACAGATTAAAGTAAGATGTGGGGGCATGAACAACGGGGGTCCAGGGGGGGCTATGCCCCTCCTGGTGAGGTTAGGTTAGGTTTTCTTGGTTCGGTGGTAATTTTTATTTATTTTTTTTTTAATCCCATTTTTTCCATGATGATTGTTGAGAGAGAGAGGGTACCTAAAAAGCTAGTGATTTCCGGTGGAAATGAACATCAAATTCGTTCGAAACTCATCAAAGTACATAAAAAGGCCTATTTTTAATATCCAAATAAAAGCCGGTGTGATACCTTATTTTTTGGGGGGCATAGTTGGTGTGGGACACGCATTTAAAAAGTATTGCTTAACATAAATATGACACAGAACAACAATTTCACTTCGTTAATTTTGTGTTAAGTGTTCGAATAAGAGAGGAATATATCCAAACAAAAGTTCACTGCCTCAGAAATATCGACAAAATAAGGTGTATTGTCAAAACTAGTTTTAACTGCGTTTTTTTCTAGAAATTGTCTGTAATATTGAATAGGGCCAACCAGCAGACAGCCAATGGACGAATATTAACCCAAGCAAAAGTATACATGTCAAAATAAATCAAACCATTAACAAAATTAAGTGTTACCGAGTCTCAGCTGTGGTCAGAAATACAATTGCTTCACACCTATAAACAAACTCACCTCTAAATAATATATTGTACACACATAATGCAACTAGGTAAATATTCAATACACTAGAATACATGTGTGATACAGTGGTTGGAACAAAGCCAGACACCTCAACTACAACATGTAAAGAATAAAGGTAACTGTAAATATCTCTATTTGTCAACATCCCCTCAAAATGTCAACTTTGACCTCTATGATGTTTTCCCTCACATCAAAGTGTTCTATGTGATGAACAAGAAGCAGAACATTCTGAAAGGGTTTATGTGTAACACTTACAAACACTAGGGGTTAAAGGTCCTCCCTGGAGACACTTAGACGTATAGTATAGTGTAGTGTTCCTGATCGATGGCTGGGGACATATCAGCTGATTGTTTATTCTCCCACAATGCATCTGGCACGAGGGCTCAACACCTAATACTATTATCTTATCTCACATGCCTACAATAACATTTTACTGTAGTTGTAAATTATGTTATTTCTGGTGAAAAAAATATATAATAATTTAATTTAGAAAATGCTTAATCTGTCAATAGAAAATCTTAAGCATTAACGAGCCTAAAATATATATGTTCACAATAATACAGGGTGATTCGGTAAGCATAGTAATATTTATTTTTAATGTTATTACAATAATTACTCAAACTCTGACCATTTCACAAGCACTTATATGTCATTTTTTGTAGTTTTCGTTAAACGTTTCTTAACCCTGACACATCGATTTTAACCCAATTGCATTTTCTAGAAATTCAGCTGTGCGTCATATCGTGTATGTGTAGGGTGGTGTAATGCGTCTAGTGTGGCAGATTATGTTAGTGTTAAGGTGCAAGTACTGTTACTTCCACTCACTATCAGCTACCACCGCTGACAAACAGGGAACCAAATTGTATAAGTCCTCCCCTGTCAATGCACATCTTTTTCACCATCAAAACTCCTACTGTGCATCCTCGTCACAACACACAGTAACTCGGTGCCTTGTGGGTCCAGACTAGACCAGCAGGGGATCTCAGAGCGCAATGGGCCCAAGAGCAACAGTGCATAGACCCATAGGCATGTGAATACGTCCTGGCATCTACCAACCACTGCCCCGCTGCCTTGTGGATTAACCTTGGTAGGTATAAGGCTACGTGAGTAAACACCTAAAGAAAAATCTGCTGTTGATCCCCGCATCAGGAAGACAAGCGTACAGAGTTCCAAAAAGACCCCAACGGCGGTATAGGCAGAAGAGGTGACACTAGCGAGCAGGGAATAGAAATGGCAGGTTATTCGGCAGGCAAAAAACTTAGCAAGGAGCGAGGCATTTCGGGATGTTTGCATTCACCCAGATCGCACGGTAATGCAGAGGGAACAGCACAAGAAGCTCCTGCAGGACTTGAAGCAGAAGAGGGAGGAGTCGAAGAGGAACGGGGACCGGTGTACATGGATTATATTCAGGGGGAGGGTAGTGGAAGCAAGTGTGCCGACACAGGAACAGGGGCAGGGCCAGATTAAGCTTAATAGGGGCCTGAGGCACAGATCAACTTGGGGCCCTCTACCCTCAAGGTATATATAAATAACAAGAACAAAATATACCCAAATTTATCAATGATTTCATCAATATTAAGCTTCTGCAAAATAACACATTTAATGTTCATAAGAGACAGAAAATTGAGACTGCTAGGACATCGTTGAACGAAGTTCATGTTTTATACGCTTCAACATCGAGAATGTTTGGATTTGGTGGCCCCTTAGAGTCGGGGGGCCTGAGGCTAGTGCCTCATGGTTATGTGGGGATAAGTGGTATTGGTTCACACTCAGGATGGGATGGAGAAAGGAAACTCATAATGTGCTCACTGTATACATGTTGTGTTAGATGTACAATGCAGCTTGTTGCTGGGTAGGTAGCATGGTAATAAGCGTTGAGTAGAGAGAGCTGGGTGGTGAGGGTGCCCAGAGTGAGGGCACGCGGCTTTGAGGGACACCAAGGTCGCTGGCGGGAGCGGCAGCCGCACGGCTGGAGCGGAGGAGGTGGTATTACTTGCTGGTGGCACTGAGTAGAAAGAGAGTGGTCACAGCGGTGTCAGGCCTTATAAGGCGGGGGTAGGCGTGGGTAGATAGTTGACCCCCGCTCCGTGGGCGGTGCTGGAGGTGTAGACTGGGGAATTCGAGAAGGTTCGGTGCTTGTAGGGGAGGAATCCACTACAATACTCCCCTTCCCCTCCAGGCGCAGCGGGAGGCTGGAGGTTGGCAGAGTTGCGTGCCACATGTGAAGCAGAACGGGCAGTGCATGCCACATGTGAGACATAACGGCGCGGGTGTGGATGAGCCGGCCGCTAGGGGGGACAGCTATGTCTAGATGCACGAGATCTGTGGGAGAAAAGAGAGAGAAGGAGGGTTGTGGAGGAGATGAATGTTGTGCTTCCCTCGCGACAGGTACAGAGTCCTCAAATGCGCCTGCTGGGGTGTGTGGGCCTGGGTCAAGAGCAGGGGCTGCGTAAGGAAGAGTGTCCATGACAGCAGCAGGGTGCATGACAACAGCAGGGCCCACGACAGCAGTAGGGTGCAGGACAGTAGCAGGGGATACCTGAAGGAGAAAAGAGGGGGGTGTGTGGGTCCGCGTCAGGAGCAGGGGCCGCGTCAGGAGGAGCGGCAGGAGGTACGGCTGGGCCGGGGGCGGCGTCTGAGGCAGGACGGGTGTGTTGGGGTCGGTAGGACGTGGTGCTTGGGGCAGGAAGAGGAGCGGCTGTCTGCTTAGAGTAGCAGAGCTACTTTAGGGTGTCTAACCTGCGGTGTAGAGACAGTACTTGTAAAGCCGATGAGAGCTGCCTCTGCATGGGTAAGCCAGTCTTCCATATTGCTTCAAGACTAGGAGAGTGATCAGTTTCTCCTCCATCCTCTGTGAGTGCGAATCTCCGGGGTCACCATTTGTGGCGTTAAGTGGTATTGGTTCACACTCAGGATGGGATGGAGAAAGGAAACTCACAATGTGCTCACTGTATACATGTTGTATTAGATGTACAATGCAGCTTGTTGCTTTGGTAGGTAGCATGGTAATAAGCGTTGAGTAGAGAGAGCTGGGTGGTGAGGGTGCCCAGAGTGAGGGCACACGGCTTTGAGGGACACCAAGGTCGCTGGTGGGAGCGGCTGGCGGGAGCGGCAGCCGCACGGCTGGAGCGGAGGAGGTGGTATTACTTGCTGGTGGCACTGAGTAGACAGAGAGTGGTCACAGCGGTGTCAGGCCTTATAAGGCGGGGGTAGGCGTGGGTAGATAGTTGATCCCCGCTCCGTGGGCGGCGCTGGAGGTGTAGACTGGGGAATTCGAGAAGGTTCGGTGCTTGTAGGGGAGGAATCCACTACAGTTAATCCTGCACTGGACAGGGGGCAGCAGTGCACCCTCCACCCGCTCTAACCCTCACCCGGGAGGCGGCACCAGCTCCGCGTACCGGACAGGAGGAGGCGAGCGCAATGTAAACAATGACATTTCTAACCAAACCCTGCAAAATACAGTGTACTTAGCAAATGCTGCAGCTTCTGAGAATGTGGGTGGAGCGGGTTTATTACTAAGAGCAGAGACGTTACCGAGAACAAATTCTGGCTTGAATGTCATGTACACTAATACCGACACGTTCCTTGATAAGAGGGAGGAGTTTGAAACACAACTAAGAGTACACCAACCAGATATTGTAGGAGTTGTAGAACTGTTGTACAAGAACAGGAGAATCGACCCAGAGGAATGTGAGTTCAGTATTGCTGGATATGACTCATTTACTAACCTTTCTCAAGAAACTTGCAAGAGGGTGTTGTGGACGTCGCCACTACAACTGCCTACAACTCTGTGTCCCTGCCACCACGGCACACTCCCCACGCATTCCAGCGTGCCGTTGCTAACAACAAGGCATTCACCAGCAGAGCTGTCTGGGTTTTCCCAACATGACTCATAGCGGCTGCTGCTGGGTATATACTGTAAGCTCTGTCTCTCCATTGAGATTCATTCTGACCATTCTTCTTCAACAAGCAACACCTCCTCCTCTGCCGCTGCCTGGCAGCCCTCGCTTCTCCTCACCTGCCTGGCGGTCCTCGCTCCCGCCAGCGAGCATGGCGACCCACCAGCTGTCCTTCTCTGAGCTTCCTCACCAACCAACTCTCATTCTGCCCATCTTCCTGAACAAGCAACACCTCCAGCACCAGACTGTCTATCATATAACTTATATTATATAAGAAAACCACATTAGAGTTTCCTTCCATCCTGAGTGCTAGACAACATTAATATCTCGATACCCCTACAATGGTGACTCCCGGAGATTAGCACTCACACAGGATGGAGGAGACACTGATCACGCTCCCAGTCTTCAAGCAGACACCGGCTCCTCTTCCTGCCCCACGCACCACATTCTGATGACCCCAGCACACCCGTCCTGCCTCAGACGCCGAACCCGGCCCAGCAATAACCCCTGACGCGGCCTCTGTTCCTGAATCCGGACCCACACACACCCTCTTTTCTCCCTCAGGTACTCCCTGCTAATGTCTTGCACCCTGCTGCTGTCGTGGACCCAGCTGCTGTCACGAGCCCTAATCCGCTTCTGCTGACGCAGCCCCTGCTCCTGACCCAGGCCCACACACACCCCAGCAGGCGCATCTGACGACCCTGTACCTGTCGTGAGGGAAGCACAACATTCATCGCCTCCACACACCCTTTTTCTCCCTTCTCCCACAGATAGTGTGCATCTAGACAGTTGTATTTCAGCGATCGGCTCATCACGCCATCGCCGTTGTCTCACATGAGGCATGCACCGCCCGGTCTGCCTCACATGTGCTAAGCAACTCTACAGACAACAAGTCTCCTACACCGCCTGGAGGGAAGGGGGAGTATTGTAGTGGACGTCTCCCCTACAACTGCCTACAACTGCGTAGCCACTGCCACCACACGGCACCTCCACGCATTCCGACGTGCCGTTGCCTAGCAACGAAACTATTCACCGGCGACTTTCTGGGTTTTCCCAACATGACTCATAGCGGCTGCTGCTGGGTATATAAGCTCTGTCTCTCCATTGAGAATTCATTCTGACCATTCTTCTTGAACAAGCAACACCTCCTCCTCTGCCGCTGCCTGGCAGCCCCTGCTTCTCCTCGCCTGCCTGGCGGTCCTCGCTCCCGCCAGCGAGCATGGCGACCCACCAGCTGTCCTTCTCTGAGCTTCCTCACCAACCAACTCTCATTCTGCCCATCTTCCTGAACAAGCAACACCTCCTCCAGCAAGCTCCATGCTGGCACCTCCAGCACCAGACTGTCTATCATATAACTTATAATATACAAGAAAACCACATTAGAGTTTCCTTCCATCCTGAGTGCTAGACAACATTAATATCTCGATACCCCTACAGTGTGCTTATCTATGCTAGGCAAGATCTTAGAGCCAGCC